AGAAAAGGATATTCCGTATTAATTGACGATAATTTATCATCATTGTTTTCTACACTTTCAATCAGATGCAGTATATTTCGTCACTATATGTATGTACGTCCGTCACACTGTCACATGACTATATCTATGTACGTGCGTTACCCCCACTGATCAATATATGTATGTAGGCTCGTCACACTCCCAAGCAACGCTTACACCTCCCGTCGGTCGATGTTCCCTAGGGACAATCTGCCATGCGTTATGACTACTCCTCTGATTGATGTGTCAGCTTTGTAAAGTAGTTTCAATCTATACAAGTTTTCTCGAGAGCCCCCATTGAACTCCAAAGGTCTAAAAATATTTCTGAACTCTAGACAAGGCTCGTGCGTGACTCCAGTCCGCGCTCTCATAAACGAAAACGGTTATATTAACTTTTCCAGTTATGAAACGGTTTTTCAAAGATTGCCTGCAAAATCAGCTTTCGAGAAATGTTTCAAATTATTTTGATTAAGAAAAGATGGTGTAAAGTTTGAGTTATCGAATCGTGAAAACCGCAAGTTCTTATCCCTTTTTTTTTTATTGAGTTATTCAAAAAGCAACCACTTCCTACTTTAATAACGATAGTAGTTGAAAGTGATACAAGAAATAAAATTGCAGCAAACTAAACGACAACGCAAGATTTTGACAAAAGTACATTAAATTTAGAAAAATCTATAAAATTTTTCGTAATTGTGAGAAAACTATTATCACATGTTTTACTAGTAGAAGAAATGGACATGTTGATCACATGTGGAGATACGAACACTTGTGAAATTTATTGATAAAAGGAGTTTATACAACCACAAATGTACAATGAGTCAAATTAGACGGCCACTTAACTTCGAATAAATCTATTCGTATGAATCGAACAAATGATTCATTTTAAAGTATGAAAATGGAGTTGAGATGGCTTTGCTGTTTGAAGAACAAAAACACTGTCGTTGATCAAAGCAGCGTTTTTCAATTTGTTGCAGTAACCTATTCGTTGTTGTTGTATTTCACAATTGTCATTCATCACTATCATATTTCCTGTGTTATCTTCCGTAATTAACCATTCATTTGCTGGTAGAGATAAAAGACAAAGATAAAACTTAAGATCGGATTCAATCGTACTGATAACTACTTCCATTGATGATAAATTACGTAATTCGATCCGAGAGTTCCCTTGATAAAGTGTTATGCTCAATGCCACAATTTGATTCTGATTAATTTTAATGCAATGAATATAGTCTTTACTAATAACATTTTCCCATTTATCTTTTAATGTCCATGTGGATGGCTGCCATAACTGAATATTTGGTGAATCACATAAAAGAAGTTTATCATCTAGACATGTAGCGGAACATGTGTCGAACGG